TCTCGCATTTACGAGGAAGGGCTGGCCTCGGCTGTTTCGTATTTTCGACTTAGCCTTCGCATTTGCGAAGCCTGCAGGCCTGCAATGAAACAGCTGAAGCCTGCAATTTCTCAAGTCCAAATCCACCCCGTGGCCTATCCAAAACTCACCCGAGCCCTCGGGGCTCCAAACCAAATATGTACACCAATCTAAAAATATCATACGGACTCGCTCGTGCATTCAAATCACTAAAATAACATCAACAACTATGAATTTAACATCAAAATCATGAAATTTCGTAAGAACTTCAAATTTTCCAATTTCCTCAAATAAGGTCCGATTCATATCATTTCAAGTCTGTTTCTTACCAAATTTCACAGACTCGACTTAAATCACATATAAGACCTGTACCGGGTTCCGAAACCATAATACGGGCCCGATACCATCAAATTTTAAACACATTTCATTTCCAAAACTCATAAATAATTCCAGAAAATAATTTTCTTAAAAATTCATTTCTCGGGCCTGGGACCTCGGAATTCGATTCCGGGCATACGCCCAAGTCCCACATTTTCCTACGGACCCTCCGAGACCGTCAAATCATGGGTCCGGGTTTGCTTACCCAAAATGTTGACCGAAGTTTCGGTCAACTTAAATTCATTTTAAAGTCAAAATTCATTATTTTTCACAGATTTTCACATAACGGCTTTCCGGCTACGCGTCCGGATTGCGCACGCAAATTGAGGTGATGCTGAAAGAGGTTTTTAAGGCCTTGGAACACAGAATTTACTTTTAAATAAATTGAACAAATTGTATTTTTCTAGTCTTCCTATAATGGTATTCAGTTGTGATATTATTTTTATTTCACGTAACAAAACGTAGGTAACATTAAAAGCTTGTGCTGGGAAAAAACTAGGGGTGTCAATGGATATTCGAAAACCTTCTAAATCGACCGAATCGTACCGCACCGAACCGATTTTTATGTTTCTTTTTAAGAAACCGTAGGTTTTTATATAAATCTGTAACCGCACCGATAATTAGGGTAGGTTTTTTATTTTATAAAAATAAACCGAAAAAATACCGAACCGTACCAAATAAATTTTACATGTAGAAAATATATTTATTTAGTAAGTTTAAAAGTAATAATGCATTAAATTTTCTTTGGGCCTTGGAATTATGAAAACTATTACAAGCCAACAAGTAATTAAACTCAAAATACTAATTCTTAAAACCAATTATGCTACTTCTACTTAAACTAAGTTATTTCAAGTATCTTTATTACCAAGACACAAAGTATTCTAGCGATTATGAGTAGCAAACTACAATGTATTGAATATGTTTCCATTCATATAATTTGGATTTATTTTTTTGAATATTTAATCTTCTATAGATTTTATTCTTGAGTCCCAGCTTGGTATATCTTTCAACTCGTGTGATTTATATTTTCTTTGCCTTTGTTTGATTTCTTTTACGCTGTTCTAGAATAGTTGATGGATCTATACTCTAGCCATCTTTTTTTTTTTAATTCATCACCCTTTAAACAGTAAAAATGTCTAGATAATTTTGCTAAGTCCAATAAAATAATGTATGTTATTGCATTCTACTTCTACTGGTGAATTTTACATGATATAAAAAAAATACCGAAAATTAACTGAACCGTATCGATACCAAAGAGAAACCGACATGATTGAGACGGTTTCGAAAAGTCTAATTTTGGTTATACATAATAGAATAACCGAAAAATTTATATGGTATAAATTTTATAAAATAACCGGCCGAACCGAACTATTGACACCCCTAGAAAAAACTAAAAACCAATTAAATTATTTAAGACATGTTTGGTGAATAAACAAATGGGAAATAGTTTACTAACAGTGCGTGCACTTGAATCATAATATAGTGGCAAGTGCTCCTGCGAAGTGATAAACACAAGATGTGCCTCACTGACTAGGTTTAGCAAAGTCATTGAGTACTACTTATTAGTGCAATTATTATTCTTTAAGTTTTGAGACAACTCGTGATATTTACCCAATGAAAATTCTTTGACATTAATGGTGTGTTTGGTACAAAGAAAAATATTTTTCTGAAAATTAAGTGGTTTTATCATTTATTTTTCTTTGTTAGTTTGGTGAGTGCAATTTTTTTTTCGGGGAAAAATATTTTCTAGTGTTTGGTTAGATAGTAAAAAATAATTTTAGGAAAATAATTTTTATGTTACTCTCCTCAACCCACCTTCCCCAAAATCCCCATATTTTTTGTACTCCTTCCCCCCTCCCCTCAAACCCCGAACTCTATTTTCTTCAAGAATTTAATTATTCATTTCAAATTCACACAAACTCAAAGTAATTAATGTGTTACTTTACTTTTATCACACAAGAATAACGTTAAAATTTGAGTTTGATAACAAAACAAAAACAAAAAAAACAATTACAAGAAAATACACATGATTTTACACCACAACAAAAAATGGGCCATGTTTTTAAAGTTTACCCGCTATAGTCCAGTTTGTATAGAATTTGAAGGAAAGATTTCAATCACTAACCTAGTTCTCTTTTTTCCTACACGCCCAAAATGCTCTCTCTCCATGTGCCTCTTCATTCTCTACAGGCCATCATCTTCTATCCTCTGTATTTTTTTGATCTATCTCCCATATTCATTTTTTATCTTCTAGAATTTTTAAATCTATATTTCATCCTATCTTTTCTCCTCTCTAATTTCCAGATCTAATTTTTCTTAACTTTTTTTAATTCTCTCAAACTTTTCTAATGCAAAAAGATGAAAGTCTAGAGTAAGATGAAGAATATGAAGTTAGTTGTTCATTTGAAAGGATTGAGGAAGAAAACATTTGACCCATTAATGATTTAAGTAATTTTGATTGATAAATCTCGAGTCTCTTACTGTGAGCATTTAGTATCGAAATACAAGTCCCAAAAATCATAATTCTGCCACTAACGAAGCTAAAGTTTTCAGATCTAGAAGTTTTCATTGTGAATTGGTGCTTCAATTCAGATGGGTATTGACTAATAATAGTATTATTGATCGGGTGAGACAAAATTTAAGAATTTGGGATTCATCTAGACCTATCTTGAGCTGATTGGTTCTTCTTCTTCTTTTTTCTTGTTCTTTTTGATAATATTGGTGTTAAAACAGAGGTGTAGTGATGAACATAAGGTATTTTTCAGTGCATATGCCGTATAATTGGTGTTTATACACACTTATACAAATATTATATAATTATGTATAAAATAGGTATAAGTGTATAGATTTGTGTATAATGATGTATAATTATATTTTTTTTCAATGTATAAGGGTGTATATACATTATTATTGTACAAGAGGTCTTCATGAAAGTTTGACACTTTTTTTTATATGGTAAATATTGTGTTGAAATAAAGGTTTAATGATGGCTGGAAAGTTTTTTTCTAATGTAAAATATGCATGTTGAATTTATGTACATTCAATGCATATGTTGTATACTCATACATATGTATTATATATATATTGTATAAATATGTATATAAGAGTGTATAATTATATATATACGNACTTTTTGTGAGATAGTCACATTAATCTGGAAGAGAAAAAAACAAATAGGAGAAATAGAAAAAAGAAGAAGGAAAGAGATCATTATGAGATTGATGTCAGACGATAATGTCAGTCAAACAATGATGTTAGAGGGCTTCATTGGCTATACGGATGAAAACTTAAAATGGTGGGTACGCAAATGAAGAGCACCTATGTGGGCTGCACTTATGTGAAATTAAATTATCCCAAGCTTTATTTTATTGAAAAAGAAAGTATCTTTTCTACATCATGAAAGAAAATTACTCATTTTGTTGAATGAAAGAAAATGCTTTTACGAAAAGAATATACTCATTTTGTTGAAATAAAAAAAAATACTCTATCTACAACATAAAAAATACTCTTAATAATAGTTCTATTTAGGTTGGTGATGGGCGAGGTGGGGGTGTCGGTTCTGGGGGAGGGTGGGTGAGGGTGGGTTGGTGTGCTTAGAAAATAGGGTGGAGAATGTTAAAAAAGAATTTTGGAAAATGTTTTACCTTCTTTTGATAGGAAAAATATTTTTCTCCAATTAGAGAAAAATATTTCCAAAGCATTTAAGCCAACCAAACATAAAAAAATTAAAAAACATTTTCCGAAAAATATTTTTCTTCGTACCAACCACACCCTAAAAATTGATTAGGATTGATATGTGGAAGTAGCCAAAATGAGCTCATTGACGGACGTTTCAATGTGAGCGTCCCCTTCTAATATTATTAATGTCATATCTTCTGATGCTACGACATGTAACTACTAACTAGTATATTGACGTAACTAACTCTTAGAAGATTACTTATTACACTACTTCATCCGATTCAACAAATTTGCTTTTAGCACGCATCAACAATAATCCAACATAATTCCACTAGTGGGGTCTGGGAAGGATAGTGTGTACGCAGATATTATCTCTACCCTGGGGTAAAGAGGTTGTTTCCAATAGACCCTCGGCATCCTTCCCTCCAAGAACTCCCTACACGCCCATTAAGAAAATATTAAATTTTATACAAAAATACCTACTATGACTAAACTACCCCTAATTAAACATTAATGTAAGGAGAAAGAAAACTTTTTAGGGATATGTATATAGGGGTTATTTTGTAAAAACAAATTGAATTCTTTCTTGATTACATAGCTGGACACTTATTTTGAACCAAATTGAAAAAATAAATTGATCACTTATTGTGAACGGGAGGAGTATCTATTTCGTGATCGCCAGCTTAAATGCAAAAGCACAAACATCTTTTCTTAATAGAAACGTCATATTCGACCAATGGCTGTTCGCATATTAAACACTACCCATTCTTAGGGATTTATGTTTCTAATTTTTGAAAAGAATCTGAGCATCCAATTCTAAACCTTAAGGCTATGTTTAGAGTAGCCCATGATCATTTAAAACCTCTTTGAAATCCTTACAGAATCGAAAAGGGACGAGTATAGTATTCTCTAATAAGAGGACGATCTCAGCAGAAAAACGGTTATCAGCTCTAACATATTATTCCGAAATGTAGAGACGTCAATCCAAAAGAATCTAATTTGAAAATGATTCAACTATGGAGAACTAAAAGAAAAAACAAATGGAGCAAAAAAAAAAAGTATAGTAGGGTCAAATATACCACAGAATTATATCACGAGAAGAGTGCTGTTGTTCAGTTGCCTATCACGCTGAGAACGAATGGGGTTAGAAATGTTTACTAAGATCTTGGAGTTAAGTTGCATGTCTTGTTGGGACGAGGAACTTGTTCAACACGATTGGCAAGACTTAGGTTCTGTGACTTTGAGACCATGTTGATCATAGATGGAGTCTCATAGCCAATGGCGCCACTATTGCTTGAGCTACCACCTTGCGATATTATTTGTGTTGTTGTGTCTCCTCTAGTTGTGGCTCTTTGCCAAGAATGTGAGCTCAAACCCGAGAGAACATAGGCTCGTCCTGTTTGTTCATAGCGTTCCCTGCTCGCCATCCTCTCTCTGATTTCGGTGAGTTCAGTGTCAAGCCAGTTACAAAGAGCATCACCTGCTTGCGCAGATACAGAAGATAGAAGAGAGGATCTTCTATTAGCTAGAACAGCTTGAGCACCCTCAAGATTTCCCATTTCTGCCATCTGTTGTGCCTCTGCAATGGTTTCTGCTACCGCCAGCCTGTTTATCTGTCTATCAACCTCACGACTTACTAGCACATCTGTAGGAGACAGTACTGGTGGCCTACGTATCTCAACTGTCTCACCCTCCACACTGACCATCTCTTCGGATGTGGCATTTTTGTAACCACATGTAATTTGCAACAGAGATGTCTTTGTTGCGCTTCCTTCAATTTCAGCTGAGGGAACAGACAAGTAGACAAGGAATTCTTTTTCCTCATCTGCATACAGGTTCCCAATGTTTATTACACCTTGCTTTCCCTGTACAGAAATTTCACTTGTATATCTTCCTGAAGGGATGGATCCAATATCCACTCCACGAGATGCTGACCTAACAGTAAGTTTTAGCTCCTGGGCTACAACACTGAGGAGACCACCAATACACATTGCAAAGGCATCTTGGACAGTACCAACAGTCTCAATGAATGAAAATGTACCACCTGATGCATCTAAGATAGCATGCATAGCAGAGGAATCATGGTCTAAACCAAACCCAAATGTATGCACATGAAAAGTTGGAAGCTGGTCTGCTGCTAGTGCTTCTCTATTGCGAGGACAAATGGAAGAAGGCAATAGATTCAGATATTCTGGGCCTGATGTTGCATTTGAGGATCTGCGGTTCCTAGGACTATGCCGTTGGTTGGCATTATCCCCGTTATAGGTGTCTCTCCCATCTGACAAGAGAACAATGCTAGCAACTGGATTCCTTTCACGCCTTTCTTCAAGAACTCGGACCCCCTTTTTGAGCCCTTCCACGATATTTGTCCCACCATTTGCTGAAATGGCATTGACAGCCTGTGCAGCCTCTCGACGCCCTTGCTCTGTCATCCTTCGCAAGGGAAAGTTTCTTTGAGCTCCGGATGAAAACGTAACAATAGCTAGACGGTCAGAAGGCCCCAAGTTATCTATGACAAAACAAACTGCTTGCTTCAGGAGTGACAATTTTGATCCAGCCATGCTGCCACTAACATCTAGAACTGTGACTAGGTCAATACGCGCACGCTCTCGGTGCCGAGCATCATCAGCAAGTGGGGGTGCCCTTACTCCAACAAGAACAGCAAATCTTGACACAGCTTCGGAAGCCGCAACTGCAGAATATTCTGGAAAAGCTCTCAAGACTACACTCTCTGAATGAACAGTGGAAGGGGAGGAGGTCTGGTCCACGGTAATGCTGGGAAGAGGTTCATCATCAGAGAAGTGAAGGGGCTCAGGAAGGGGGAGAGATACCGGTGGTGGAACACGAGAAACATTGTCAGGGTAATGATCTTCAAGTGGAGAGACACGAGTCCGTCCTGCACTGTTAATGGTTGCATCAGTACTGAAGGACGACATGAGAGGAATCTCTTTCCATTTGCATCTGCAGATAGGGCAGAGGTAGTTTCCATGCTTAACACTGTTGGCAATGCAGCTGAAGTGGAAGGAGTGGGAGCATTCAGCAGTGAATATGGCCTGACCATTCCCAGGTTTCATACTCCCAAGGCAAATGGCACATGTTCGCTGCAATCACAATAAAATAGACAAAGTGGCAAGTATAGTGAGAATACTGTAATCAGCCAATAAATATATCCGTATGTAACCACATGTCCCTAGTCAATTCCTCAATTAACTTAAGAAACATTGATGAAGCTATAGTTTATATATCCACTCAAAAAAAATTGTAGTGGACTCTGTTGAACAGCAGGTTAACCAAAGCACAGAAATTTGAATCTATCATAAGGTATACATGGGACAAGGGCAAAGAAAAGCTAAGTAAAAGAGCAGCAATACCAATTTTCTGACCAAACAAACTGATGAAGTCACCAAGCAATCGCACCCGAGGGTGCGGTCCAATGATCAATGAAGTGGTGTAAAGGTTCAAATCCTAACGAAGGCAAAAAATAATAGATGATTCTTCTTGTCTGCCTAAGCCTTAGTGGGCAGAGTTACTATATGCCGGCACTAGTGGCTATTCGGTGGAATAATCGAGGTTCACGCAAGTTAACTCGGACTCTTATCATTATAAAAAAGAAAAAGAAAAAAGAAGTTACTAAGCAATCATGCAAAGACTTTCATGACATAAGCCCTTACTTGCAACCTTTGCCCCCAGTGTGACATTCATGGTTAAAACAGTAAAACTGCTTCGACTGTACATTCACGGTAAGTATTTTCAATAATAAAAAGGTTCTGGAACCTTTGGGCTTTTTTCCGGGAATAGATAAGTCACTCGGACCCAGTTACCGACTCATTCAATAACTTAAATCATTGATGAAATAAGCTTTTGGAATCATTAGGTATATAAGTATTAACTTTATGAAATATCGATCAAAATGAAGTCATTTGTTTAAGCAGTAAGGACTTTTCGATAAAATATACTCCAATAAAATATACATGAGGACATCTAGTTACCTAAACCAAGTACTGACAAAACTAATGAAATATCTGAAAAGGGTCAAACTATCCCTATCGTTTGCTAAATGGTTTATAAATACCCTCCGTCTATCTATCCGTTCAAAAAAATACACTCCGCCCATTTATCCGTTCAAAAAAACACACGAAGTTAATTCTATTAACAAAAATACCCCGCGATTAACGGCAAAACTTGTGGATCTTTTATTTAATGACGTGACGATTTTTAATTGGGCCACGTGACAATCTTTGACTGGAACAAAAAAAACATTTCATTAGTAGTGGCAATTGCTACTACTAACCAATTCTAGCAAATTAGCATTTCAATATGAAAAACTAACTGCATCTTGCCCACATCTAATATACTCCATGTGAAGCAAACACGTAGTGGCATAAAAAAAAAGTCCGTCCTTTTCTAGGTGGCAAAGTCAATTGTTGTTACGTCTAAGCTATTGCCAATTATAATCCTATATTTTTAGAACTGGTCCAGCTTCATTCAATCCAACTTCTTTTACTAGACATGGGCACACACACATAGCTGGCGTAAGAAGTTGTCAAAAAGATCTCAGCCAGATCCCCCATTTGTCCAAACCTGAAATCATCAAAATTCTCAGCTACCCAATAAATAATCTACCTCTTATCTTATTTAAAAAATGAAATGAGTCGGTAATAAATAGTTTTGGTTGTTCTAATGCGTAGGATATTGGTTGTACCTTCATTAATAGTGGTTGTACACTAGCATCAATTTTAAGAGTAGAAAAGGTATTTTCACAAAGACAAACTCAGAAAAAGCCTGGCACGGAAACCCAAGAAAGGTCAACTTTTAGTTCTCAACTACTCCTATTTAGACAACGAAATGACCTTTTTGACCTTTACAAAAGGGCGTTGATACCAAAGTAGAGCGGAGGGCAGTATAGTAATCATCTATGCATTCGTCATCTAATGCCTTGTAAAGCTGGCTTTCCTTTTAGTTTATTCATTGATTCAAATAAACCAAACAAACGTGATAAATTAAAAAGTGAATTCCCAATAGTACCCCGGCTCAGATCCCCCAAAACGGAAGAATCCAGTAAATTTCGCAAAATAACGAATGTATTTTTGTCCAAAATCAATTCTCCCTCCAGTTTAGGAAAAGCACAAAATTCTGCTCCATTTTCGCGATGGTAAAATAGCAGTTGTCATCACCGGTGAAGCAAAAACCGACTTTCCGGCGAATCAAAATGGATAACAAATCAAATACTACCGGCGAAAAACAAGGAAGAAACAACCGAAAAACTCAACAAAAAAAAAGAAAAAGAAAAAGAGGACAAAATTATTTAAAAGAAAAGAGAAAAGCGGACCTTAGAGGATCGGGAGGTGGAGCTGAAACTTCGGGAGAAACGGGAGAAAGAGGAGGAAGAAGGGGCGGAGGGCGGCCGAGGAGGTGGTGGTGATTTGGAATTGGAACCGGAGGATGCACCATTATCGGTAGGAGACTTAGGCTGTTGCCTAAACGACAGCGTCTTCTGCAGTTTGCTCCATGTCCCTGACATTCTTCTCGTTTTAGCTCTTTCTATAGAGCAAGAAAAAGGAATATAATGGATTTTAGGGTTTGGGTTTGTATGGGAAAAAATAACAAACGTGAAATTGGAGAAGAAGAGAGAAAAAAGAAAGACAATTTGGATTTTAAAATAGTGACAAGAATTTTGTTTGTGTGATACGGCAAAGTGTATCTGATTTGATCTAATTAATTATTCGCCCTTCTTCTCTCTCTTTTGATTTGGTTCCAAAAACGGAAGGGCTTTTCATTTTAGCAAGGAGTAATTGTATGGGTGAGAGAATAAAACTGCATGTTACCATTTTCAGTAATAATAGTAATAAATAAAGTAAGAGAGGGAAGAGGGGAGTAATTTTGGGCAACTTTCAATTTCATTTATTGTAATATATCTTCATATTTTAATTGTCTAGATCCTTATAGCTGACTTTTTGGTAATTTACAATTCTCGCGGTTAGGTCCGCAAACAAGTGTTACCGAGACTAGAATACGGGAACTAAATATTTAGTATGGTGTCATTTGATTGCAAAGCGGGATATTTAGAGATTAACAATCTTAAAATTATAATTAAAAATTTAGGATTATAATTCTAAGATTACTATTCCACATCCAATATGGGATAGTTATATAACCATTTTGATATAAATTTTGTACCGATATTAGCTAATACCAATAACTAAACATAGGACAAATACAATCTAAAAATTAATCCCGACCTCCCGAGATTATAATACCTAATCCCAATAATCAAATGCCCCTAACGTTATTTTTTATTCGGAGTAGCTAGGATTATTATACGGCATTGAATGTATAAGAACAATATCAAAATTTTGTATAACTAATCAATGATTGCTTATGCCGAAAAATTAATTCAGCCAAATACATGACTAGATAATCCCATATTTTATTCAAAGACTATTTTTCTCTATCGCATGAATCAAACTATCAATTATTTGTAAATTCTGGTAAATGCTAATTCGTGTTTCCTGAAAAGGCGGAGCACCTGATCATCTGATCACTCCTAAAGAAATGTGATAGGGGATTATGTACGGATACAAGGTCATCTCGAGTGAGCATCTTACAACTCAGCATAAGCTTTTGGTTATGAACTTAGATATCAGGTAGACGAGGATGTGGAGGGTTTTGTCTGGTCTATCTAGGGTTAGGTGGGGTGTGTTGACTAAGGACAAAGCACAGGAGTTGGGGGAGAGATTGATGGCTATGGGAGCTTGGAGGAGTAGTGGGGATGCAAGCTGTATGTGGACTATGATAGCGAATTGTATTAGAGAGCGACGAGAGATGTGATAGGGGTCTCGAAGGATTTCTCTGGTGGACACAAAGGGGACCGATAGTGGAACGAAGAGGTTCAAGGAAAATTGGAAGCTAAGAAAATAGCTTATTTGAAGCTAGTAGAAAGCATATGCGAGGGGGAGAAGAGGGCTAACAGGGAGTGGTATAAGAAGGCTAAGCAGGAGGCAAAGTTAGCAGTTACTACGGCTAAGACCGCTACGTTTGGTCATTTATATGAAGAACCTGGGGACGGAGGCGGGGACGGGGACAAGAAGTTGTACATGCTGGCGAAGGTGAGAGAGAGGAAGACTCGTGATCTGGACCAAGTGAGGTATATAAAAGATGAAGAGGGTAAAATTTTGTCGGAGGAGGCTCAAATTTGGAAGAGATGACAGCCTTATTTCTATAAACTCTTGAATGAAGAGGAAGATATGAGCATTGTGCTGATGGTAGACTATAATCCCGTATTTTAGTCTCTTATTGCACTATAATTCACTGCACTTTACTTGTGTTGAGCTTTAATTAGTAGTGTTTTGCACTTATTTTGTATTATATGCCGTGTAGGAGTGATTCCGAGTTATTTAGATGTTGCGGAACAAATTCGATTTATTTGGAGCTTTGAAGTCTAAGTAGAAGCCCAAGGGATTAAACCGGGATCGTCTTCGGGGGTCAAGGACCAAGTCAGGATGTCAAAAATTGAAGAAACGAACTCACTCTACAAAAAATGCACGGTCGCGCCGACTCAAAAATTGAAGAAACAAACTCACTCTACAAAAAATGCACGGCAGGCAGCGCGACAGTGCAAATTATGCCCAGAAATGAAATTGCAAAACATTCTGGAATTGTCCACAAGCACGCCGCATGCCGCGGGGTGCGGCGCGGCGTGGTAGCACAAAAATATTAGGTTGACTTCCCATTTCTGCTAAAAAGGGTAATTTCGTTCGGGGTTTATTGGGGGTTAACTTAAATACACACAAAAAACACCATTTTTGGGACTTTTGACAACATTTTTTTAGCTAAGAAGGCTTGGGAAGAACACAAGCACAAGGATTTCATCATTCCTTCCTCACTCAAGATCCGGGTTTGGATTGAATTTATGTTTTCCTATATTTTAGTTACATTTGTGAAGAACTTCTCCATGTCTATGGAGTAGTTCCTTTTGAGTTTTGATGGATTTGGTGTATTGATGATTGTTTGTGGATTATAACTCTATATTTATGTATTTGAATCATTTTTGGAAGATTTAATTGTTGCATCTATATTCACTTGTTCTTGTAATTGAAAGAGGCATAACTTGTGATATCTTTGCACTATTTTGTTGGTTGAGTTCATAGATTCTTCTAAGTAATCGAAAGAGGCTAGTTGAATTGTTAATTAAACCTAATTAGGAAAATAATCGAAAGTGGTTTTCCTAAAGATCGATACACTACGCATTCTTGCATATCTTTACAGTGCTTAAATTGGTTCATCTCGTGAGGTTAAGACTTAATCGAGAGAGAAGTTTTTGCTGAGTGTTTGAACTAATAATAGAGTGAATTCGAGAGATTCACTCGAACATTGGAAGTGAACTATCTAGAGTTAGATCCCGAACAATTATCTTGCACTTATTCCGTCAAAACACTATCATCTCCCACCGATAACCTTAATTATTTATTCCTTATTTTGATAGTACTAGTTAATAGCTGTAGATTTTATATTCTTAGTTAAATCTTATTAATCGTATAAATATCAACTATTGATCCTCATAGATAGCAATCAAGATACAAACTACGAGAATACTGTTTAAATCTAATTCTTGTGAATACGATATTATATTATACTATCTTTGACTAGCGAGCACAATTTAAGTGAGTGTTTTGTGCTCGTCAAATTTTGGCTTCGTTGCCTGGGATTGGCAATCAACAGTGTTTGAAATAGTTTGTAGTGCTTATTCAGTAATTTATTTTATTTTTATTTTATTTTATTCTTCATGGGTTTCTCATCTGTGTGCAGGCAACAAGATAAGTCCATGGTGTATGATACGATCTTCTTGTAAAGAAGTAATACCCTCAAACCAAAATTGGAAAAACACTTGCGGCAACTGAGGAAGGAGAAAGAGTTCACCGTAAAGTTCGTAGGGCAACCTTCAACCCAAGAACACATGGTTAATAGTGTTGACAACGAGGTAGAGGCAATGCAACATAGAGAAGAAGTTGCAAGGATAGCAGTTGAGGCAGCCCGTAGAGCTGCTGAGAAAACTGTCGAAGATAATAGGGGTCGAAGATTCAATCTAAATCGACTCTTGATTGAAGATCAGTTCGAGAATGCGGTACCCAGGCCTGGTACAGCATTGGGTGATTATGCCAGACGAGTCTATATTCAAGGATTGTCAAGTGTTAGACCACCTCCAATTGTAGCAAATAATTTCTAGTTGAAGCAAGGTTTGCTTCAAACCATTCAAAACAACTGCTTTTTCATAGGGAAGATGAATGAAGGTCCAAACACGCATTTGATGGACTTCGAGGAGATTATGAACACCTTTCAATACAATAGGGTGTCACTAGATACAGTGTATTTAAGGGCATTCCCCTTTTCACTTAAAGATGATGCGAAGCTGTGGCTTCGAAGCTTGCCAAATGGATCAATTAGAACATGGGAGGAAATGACCAAAAAATTTCTTGATAAATATATATCCTCGGCTAAGACGGGAAAGTTTAGAAGAGAAATCCATAACTTCTGCTAGAAAAAGACTGAAACTATTTTTGAAGCAAGTGAGAGGTTTAAGGATAGTTAGAAGGTGTCAACATAGCGGAATTGAACTTTGGATGCAACTCCAGGATTTTGGGATGGATTGACACCGGCCTCGCATAAAACATTGAGCAATATAATTGGAGGCCGTTTTATGAAGAAGACTCTAGATGAGATAGTTACAATTCTTGATGAGTTATCCGAAGATGCTAATCAGTGGCCCCTTGAAAGAGTGGAAAGAAGAAAATCAACTGGTGTTCACCAAGTTGAGGCTACTACATCTGTGCAAGTACAATTTGATGCTATGGATAAAGAAATACAAAAGCTAATTGTATCTTCGATGCAAAATGTACACCACACAGCTTGTGATATATGTGGAAGAGGATACCTTACTCATGAGTGTGAAGCCTCAACTGAGGAAGTGAATGTTGTAGGAAACTATAATTTTAATGTAATGGGTCAGAGGCACCCCGACTTTTCATGGAGTTCACCTGGGGGTACTGCAAGTGCATGGCAACAAAACAACCCTAGATTCCAGGAACAAGGAGCTCCAAGTTTTCAAAATTAGCAGAGGCAGCAGTATCAGTCTCCACTATCAAATCAATCTAGCATAGAAGATCTTATGAAGACATTCATTATCAAGACAGATGAGAGGCTTGATGCCCATGATGCAACTATCAAAGAATTGAGTACATATTTTCGTAGCCTAGAAAGATAGGTTGGGTACTTAGCTACTCTAATATCTAAGAGAGTCCCAGGAACACTCCCGGATGATACAGAAATAAATCCCAAAGAAATAGTAAATGTTGTAACTTTGAGAAGTGAGAAAGATTTGAAAGATCTCACCCCAATCCAAAAAGATATGAAACATGAAAA